GCCCCGCCCAGGCCGGCCGCCTTCTTCCCGGGTGGGGCCGCTTTTTTAGACACCCTCTCCCCCAAGTCCCCAGGACATCATGGCAGAGAATCTCCGCCTCCCCCCAGCCCCCCGCCTCCCCCCTCTCCCACCCCACATAACCAGCACCATGTCCGCCGAGTTCCCCCAGGCTTTCATCGACGCCAACGAGCGCTTCTCCGAGGGCCTTTGGCACAACTTCATGCGCCCCCTCTCCGTGCGTCCGGGCTCCCCCGCCCCCTCTGACTGTCTCGGCGTCTGCTCACCTGCCTCTGCTCACCGGCGCTGCCCCCCCCCCCTCTCTCCCCCCTCCCACCCCGGGACATGGTACAAACAGCAATACCAGCTGCGCATGCGCCTCGAGTGCCTCAAGAACTACGACCGCTACCCCACCACCGCTGAGGCCTCCCAGTGCGTCGAGCAGTCCGCCGTCGAGCTGGCCCAGCGCGCCCAGGTTGTTGTTCGCTTTTCTCAGACCATGCAGGTTCGTTCCCCGTGGCCGACAATCCCCTGTCCTTCTACTCCCCCGCGCCCCGATCTGACCCCCGATGCTCCCCCTCCTCCGCTCTGGTCTGCCCGCGTGCAGCGCGAGATCTCTCGCTGCTTCCAGCAGGGCGGCACCAGCGGCCGCGATGCCTGCCTGCTTGACCTGGTCCCCCTGTTCGATGACGCCATGGACACCTTCGAGTCCTCCCTTGCCGACCTCAACTAGGAGATCCCCCAAGCTGCACGCGCACCCCTCCCTCCCTTGACGAAGACGCCCATGCACCAGCTCGCACCAACTGCCTCCCTCCTGTATCCTTGATTCCCTTCCGGGGGGAGTTCTACCTGTGCCCGCGCGCCCGTGTCCCTTTTTTTGCACCATTCGCCCACCACCAATAGAGCGGTCTTACCACGCAGACACACACACATGCATATGCACATGCACATACACGAGCATCCGTATTCATGCCACAGGGGCTCGGCCTCCCCGCCCACCCCGAGTGCCATCGACCCCCGGGAAGTGCACCACCATGCCGAAATGTGTATGCTCCCCCAGGGGGGATGGACAAAGGCCCCATCATGGGAAGAGAATCACCTCGCGCGTGGTGGTGTCCAGGACATAGAAAGCCAGCGGGTCCCTGATGACCGAGGCACTCGGCGCCTCTTTGACATTCGGCAATGACGAGGGCGACCTCCCAGGCGAGGGAATGCCCGATGGGTCCGGCCCCGGGGCGGGCCCCTGCCCGGTCGAGGGCATCGCACCGGTGCCCCGCAGGGGTACTCGACGCGGCCGGCCGGCCCCCGGCTCCAGCTCGTCCTCCAGCATGTCGACGGGATCATCCTCCTGGTCGTTGTGGAAATTCGACCGCATGGACCCCAGCCGGGCCACACAGGCTCGGAGAGCCGAATTCAAGGGCCGCCGTGGCACGAAAAATTCCGCCACCAACACCTCCAGCAGGGTTTCCCCTCGACGGATGATGGCCGGCTTGAACCAGTTGATGAGCGACGGATTCTTCGAGGGCGATGACACCAGCGAGTCGCCCTCGCTCGGGGGCACACTCGGCGTCCGATGGCCCATGCCCTCGGCCGGGCCCCGGCCGAGCGGCTGACTCGGCGAGAAACTGTGCGTCTTCCAGTGCGGATCTCCGGAATCGGAGTTGGCGCCCTCCGACGAACGGTCGTATGGGTGGTGGTGGTAATGTTGCGGCTGCGGCTGCGGCTGCGATTGGTGGTTATGGTGGTGGTGGCCATGGGGCTGCCGATCGACCAGCCAATCCGGCGCTGGGCAAATGCACCCGCAGGCCGCGGGGCAGTGGTGCACGCCGCAGAATGGCACCATCGGCTCGGGCGGGGACCCGTCCCCCGGTCGAGCCGGATCGGATGCCACATTCGGCCGGACCAGCTCGATCGAGGCGTCGGTGCTCTCGCCGCTCCCATTGGGCCGCATGGCCTTGCCAGCCGATGGCAGGGGGGACGAGTGCGACCGGCCGAGGGCCAGCGAGCAGGCATTCTCCACCGCCCAGCTACACCGATTTTTCAGGCCCTCTTGCGAGTGCGCATGCACGCCGGGAACCGCCCCCACCGGCCCGGGGCAGGTGCAAACCACACACTGATGCTCGGGATGCTCGAACCCCGGCGATGCCGGGGGGAAGCCCGACCGCGGAACCATCGCCCCCGCGGTCGGGGTCGAGCATGTCCCCTCAAGGCAATGCCCGGGAAGGGGCCATGCGCCAATGTCTCGCAGCTCCATCGACCGAGACCGCCGTCGGATGGGCTGGCGGTTGCCTGCCCGCCGCCGCCAGCAGCAGCAGCAGCAGCAGCAGCAGCAGCAGCAGCAGCAATGGTCAGCCCCATGGTGTTAGATACCGGCAAGCCATCATCCAGACCAGCAGAGTGCAGGGGAGGGTGTGCCAGCCAAAGGAGGGCCGGGGCCAAAAAAAAAACACCCACACAAGAAAGGACACCTCGCCCATGCGCACCCGCGAGTGATGAAATGTCCCCCATGCTGGGGGACTGCCGCAGGGCGGCCGGCCCCCGGCCAATGCCTCGACTGATGGCCAGGAGCCCGGTTCCCGGATCCTCCAGGTCGCTTGCATCATCGCCATCCGCACTGGCCCCCAGGCCCAGGTCCAAGGACCGTCGACGGCTTCCGGGCAGGATCGCCGGCAACTCATCAAACAAAGACAACACCCGGGTGCAGGACACCACCGACACGGTTTCGCTGGAGGGCCCCAGAGAATTGGAGGCCGCCTGGGCCGCTGCCACCACCACCTGCGACACGGACTCGCCCTCCGGAAGGGGAACTGCCCGGCCCGGCAGCAAGCCCGGGCCCGGCTGTCGGGCCGAGTGCGGGGCAAAAAGATCATAGAACGACACGGCCAGCTTGACCCGCGTCGGGGGAAGGAGCTGGAAAATGTCCTCCGGCGCAAAGGACCCCGCGGTCCTGGGCGACGAGGCCGACCGGCCGGGCTGCTCATCCGGCGCCCGGGGCTCGGTGCCCTGTCGATTGCCAAAGAGCAGGCGACAATCCCCGGTCACGCCGGTGGCCACCCCGGCGAAGTAGAGAACCACAAAGATGTCCGCCCCGCCCTGGGGATGGCTCCCATCGGCCGAGGCTTCCACCAATCCCAGCACATCGGCCTGGAGCTGGGGGAAATTCTCCTCCTCCAAATTCTCATAGAGCAACACCCGCCACCGGTCGCGCGGATCCAAGTCCCGGGGCACCGCCACCGAGAGGATGGGCTCGGACTCGACCTCGCGCTCGTAGCGCCGCCAATACAGCGACGGCACCATCCCCTCGATCGTGCCATTGCCCATGTCGCCCATGTGCGCGAAAATCGTGGCCAAATACCGCGCGAAGTAGGGCGGCGCGGCCAGATTCAATGCCGACGGGCTCCCGGGGAGGCACGTTTCATAGCGGCCATTTCCGATGCAAATGGCCACGCACAGCGAATCGCTCGAGGGGATCAGCGGCAAATTGTCCGGCTCCAATAGCGGATCCATGGCCAGGATTTTCCTGGCTCGTGGCGAATTCAGGGGGGGAGGGGGAGGGAGAGGGAGGGGGTGGGAAAGAAAAAAGGCCACCCGTCAGTCAGCCAGCCAACAAGCCCACACACACACACACACACACACATACACCACCACCACCATGCGCAGTGCCCAGGAAACCAGCCATCCGCCAAAAGGGGGGTGCGTACTCTGGGACGAAGGGGGCATTCGGCAGGAGCGGATAGTAGGAATTCAACTCGTCAATGAGCGGCGTGATGCCGGTGCTTCGAAGGAGATCCCCCGAAAGACCCAGCGGGAACAGCTGCTGCGGGGTCACCTCGGCCAGCTGCTCGGCCGCCGAGACCGGGCCCACCGTGGGGGCCGACCAATGGCCGGGACCCAGTCGCAGAAGGGCCGTGTGGGGGAAAACGCATCGGGACCATGGCATCAAGCTTGACAGCGAGCATTGGTCTTCAACGGGGGAGGGACGGAGGATGAGAAAGAAGGGCGAGCGAGGGGATGGCCAAATCATGCAGACCGATGGACGGAGCACGGTCGGAAAAGACGCACTTATCCCGGACCCAAGTGCCGTCAGAGAGATATCCGGCAAAGGACGGCTCTGGGGGCCCTGCTGAGAGAGGAACTTTTCGATCAACAGCGTCGCCATCGAGATATATGACGCGGGGATGGGATTGTCTGCGCATTTGCACCAGTGAGAGGGGGCTCTTGGGAGGAAGGCATAGCGGAACCTCCGTGAGGGGAGGCGGGCGGGCGGGCGGGCGGAGGCTCCGACGCACCACCATGGAGGGTGACACTTTCCAGGCTCGGGGTGGCCACAAAAGTCAACAGGGCCGGGATGATGGAATAATGATCGAAGGGGTTCTCTGGGTCGATTCCTGTGTCAAAATGCATCTTCCCAGGGGAGGGGGCGCGAAAGGTGCCAACCACGAACCATGCAGGAAGAGTTGCCGGATCTTCGGGAACAAGGACAACTGCAGGAAGGAGCTGATCGACGAAAGCCCACGCCCGTGGAAAAGGTTATCTAATGGCACCGATGGCGCCGATGCGAGTCAGGAGAGGGGCCAACCGGAGGGGGGGGGGGGCGCGGCGACACGCCACAGGGGGGGGGGGGGGGGCAATTGCATTCGGCAAGACAAGATGCCCGGCGTACGGCTAAGATCCAGACACTGAAGCTCCCGCATCCCCGACAGCCAGGGAGGGAAATGCGTCAAGAAGTTTCCTGACACAGCCGGGAGGCCGGTCGCGGCAGGCAGCAAGCGGGAGGGGGAAGATCACCACGAGGAATGAGCGGGGGGGGGGATGCCAGCGGGGCAGCATGCGTGACAAGCGCACCGGACAGGGAAAGATACTGGAGCTGGGAGAGCGGGCGCGCGGCCTGCCCCGCGGACATGAGCCCGGCAAAGGGCGAGTCCCGGGGAAGGCAATCGAGGATGAAGCGTGCAAAGCGCGGGGCCACCTGATGGAAGGGCCTGCCGGAGGCCACATGGCTGATGGTCCGCCAGGAGCTCCAAAAGGCCGCCGGGCCCACCATATCCGACGGCGGCAGATGGAAAGACCCGAAGAAGATGTTCTCCGTGGCCGAGGCGCCCTCCGAAAGCAGCGGCCCGCTCGGGGCAACCCTGCCGGCCGTGGTGCCCGGGCTCCGGCCCCCGGCGACGGCCGCCGGAAAGGAGGGATTCTCCGCCGACGCGGCCAGCATCAGCGCAACAGCCAGGCAGATGTCGGCATCACGCAGGATCGACTCGCCCTGGCTATCGGCCGTGTACAGGCCCGATAGCGGGTCCTCCGCCCCGAGGTCCTCCATCAGGGGGCGAAGCCCCCGCACCAGCGAGTCCGACTGGCTGGCAAAGTAGTACCACGCCTCGTTGGCTGCCACGCCGGCCCAGTTGAGATTTGATGCGGTCACCACGGCCGCTCGACTCAGCCATCCCGGCAGCATCGTCGGGCCCAGGGCCCCGGCCAGCTGGAAGTCATCGATCTCGGCATCTGAGGGAGCCCGGCAAGATGAGTCACTTTGTCTGGCGGCCGAATGGCAAACAGCCCACAGGCGGGAGCCGGGCGAGAGGCAGGTGTGTTGGCTGGCCTGCCAGGCGAGACGCACTGTCCAGACGCAAGTCCACGAGATTGCGACCGAGTATGTGGCTGGTCTTGAGGGGGCAGCGGGGGGATGCATGAAAGTAGGAATGCCGACAGGACAGCGAAAAGAGGGCCGAAATGCCATCCCCATGGACAGTCAGCGAGGAGAGCCTCTCGAAGCCGGACGATTCGCCCGCCTCGCCGAACACCTTCCCCGGGTCCGGGGTGTGGTGGCAAATGACACACGGCGAGAGCTCCCTCGGCAGGGCGGAATTTTCCAGCGCTGGGTGCATCGGGTCAGACCCCAAGGCCGGGGCATTTGAAAGGGGGCGACAACCAGGGCACGGATGCCAACATACAGGCCGAGATGCTGAGGATCTTCATCGGAGCCACGGAGTTCACCACCATCAGGCAAATGACCAGCTCCAGCGGCGAGACATCATGGCCTGCGCGGGCGCCGGTGGGTCAGTCGTCGATGGGGCGGGGGGGAAAAAAAAAGAAGGACGGCCCGAAGGCCCAACGGGGGCGAATGCAATGAGGAAAGGAGGAAGAAAAAAAACCCGGCGTCTTCCTGCAGCTGCATCTGGCCGCAAGCCCGTCCCCCTCGCCCGCTTCCCCGCACTCGGCCCCTCCCGGGGATGTCGTCGCGTACCGGAGATGTCCAATTCGGCCACACTCGCAAGGAGCGGCTCCTCGGGTAGACCGGCAAGCGGCCGGACGAGTGGCGAAAGCGCCCGACCGGCCGCCTCAACTGCGACCAGCAGCCCCCGGAGGAGTGCCTTCCCGGCAATCGCTGCCAGCAGGGAGGAGACCCCGGCAAAGGAGACCTGGTTGTCTATCGAGCAGAAGCACCGGTGAGGGCCACATGCCATTGACATGGCCAAAGGGGGGATATGCCGTCCAGGCGCGCACCTTGGAGGAGGAGGGCCCGCAAGGGGGCCGCTGCCCCGCCAGCGAGCTTGATCCCGGCCAGACGCTGGATAAAGGAGTCACCCAGCTGGTTCTCTGGAGGGGGGGGGGGGGGGCGTGGGGGGGGGGGGGGGGGGGGGGGGGGGGCGAGGCGGGGATCGACATGCAAAGAGGCTCTCGGGTCAATGCAGGGAAGATGGCCACGCGGCCGGAGGCTGCCCGCGGGAGGGCCGACAGCAACATCGAGCGGCGAACACCGAGAGGGGGCGGGGGGGGGGGGGGGATGCGGCGAACCGCGGGGCACGGGATCCGACGCACCGGAAAGGTCCAAGTGCTCCAGGCAGGGCAGCAATTTCTCCAGCCAGCTGATGAGGTAATCGTCGTGCTGGGCAGACAGGCCGGTGTCTGCGGGAGGAAGAGGCAGTGTCAACATTACGGCTCCGAAGCACACAGGCATGCGGGACCCTGCGGGGCCTGCGGATCACGGACCACTGAGGGACAGTCGCCGTAGGGAGGGCAGGTTACACAGGGACAAGAGGTATACCCCGACCGGGGGGAGAGGAGCATCTTCACGGCGGGGAGGAGGAGCAGGGAGGGTGAGGAGGATGCCAAAAATGGAGGCGGCCAGGCCGGCCGGGCAGTGCGTCGCGATGCCACGCGTACGGGTCAAACTCAGGCTCCGGAGGATCTCGCAGTGGTACGGGCTGATGTCGGTGTAGTCCAGGGTGGAGATGTGCAACGGCAGGCCGGACACACTCAGCAGTGTCAAATGGCTTGAGGAGAAGAGCGCGGCAAACCCCTGCGCAAGCTGGGGGTCCTGGAATGGGAGCGAGGGGGCAGTGGCTGAACGCCTCGCCAAGCAGGGGACCCGGTCAGCGAGGCCACCGGCGGCCGGCTAGCGGACCAGATGAAGAGCAAGTCGGCCCGGGCACATGCGCCAGGGGAACCCCGCGCCACACGTACCGACCATCGAAAGAGCCCCGACCCGGGGCAAACTGTCGAACATCGACACGAAGAGCAGCCAATCGGCCAGGCTAAATGCCGACTCATCGCCGGCTGCCAGGCATCGGGAGGAATGTGGACGTGAGACTGTGGGTCCAGGCGGGCGGGCGGGCGGGCGGGCGGGCGGACGGGCGGGCGGGCGGGCGATCGAGACGCTGGGAGGCGGAAAATGGGGCAGCGGGGAAGCGCGCCTCACGCACCGAGGAACACCTCAATTCCATGGGTCGGAGAGGCTGCCCGAGGGACGCCCGAGGGCGGGTGCCCCTCCTGGCTGACCAGCGCCGAGAGGAAGGCAATGGCCGGCCTCAGGCCTTCGAAGGAATGCCACCGGTAGATGACCTGGGCATCGGCCACAGGGGGCGTCGCGCCCAGCGGGCGGAGCAGGTCGCCGGGGGACATGGCGCGCCGGGGCCCGGGGAGGGGAAGGGGACGGGCAGCGGAGGCGGCTTGGGCGGAAGAGCAAAGGGCGGCGAGGGGAGGAGCGGGCAACTGGCATGCCCCTTCAGGCTGGCCTGTCCTGTGGTGGCCCCGGAGGCCGGCGCTTAGATCTCCGGCCCCGATCGCGTCGCCGGGCCGCCCCGGGTCACGGACCTCCGGCGGCTCTCTGTCTGGGCCTCGCCCTGAGTGAGGTCCGGGGGGGGGGGGGCGGACGGATCCCCACTGCCGGCCGCGTGCATCTGCAGCCAGGCCACTCCACGGGGGGGGGGGGGGGGGGGCGGAAGGGGGGGGGGGGGGGGGGCCCCAAAAACCCCCGGGACCCCCCGGGCGGGGGGGGGGGGGGGGCCCCCGGGGGGCGGGGGGCGGGGGGGGGGGGGGGGGGGGGGAGTCCCATCTCTTGATGGAGAGCGCGATCGTGCGCGCGGGGGCGCGCAAAGTTGCCCTGGCTCGTGATGCGGCGATCACATGCAAAGGAATGCGCCATCAGGGGCTACCTGTGCAACCCTCCGGCCGGAGGAGGGTCAGAACCCGTCCTGCCGCCCCGTCCAGCCCCCCCTCGTTCACAAGCCAGCCCCCTTGTCCGCCGGGGGGATGAAGGGGGGGGGGGGCGCACCGCGGCAGAGGACGCATCCTCCTGAGGCAGGGCGGGCTGCGGGGCGACGCGTTCGATGATTGGGCAGGACCGCAACACGGGCGGATCGAGCCTGCCCATTGGTCCGACAGGGGGAGGTGCCGGGGGAGTCAGGAAACACAAGCCGGGCGCGGTGGGGCCGGGCTGTTTGTGCTTGGCCGCGCCTCGGGCGTGCCCTTTCCTGGAAGCTTCGGGCCGGCCAAATCTCCTCGCCCTGCCGCTCGGGAATCCCCCGGCAAGAGGAGGTCAAGGATGTCCCCCCCCCCCCTCCCCGGATGCAGTGAAAGGGCCAGTTGTTTATTCGGCCGCAATATCTGCGCGCGCATTCGGCCGCTAGCAGAGAGTATCGCCTGCCGTTGCGGACACGGCCCGGCGCCTTGGGTTCCCTGCCCCCCTCCCCCCCTCTCCGCCTCTGCGCCATGATGGACCTCCGGCCAGCTTCCCGAGTGCGGCGGCGGCGTCGCTGGCAGCGGCTCGGTGGCAGGATTCGACAAGGGGCGCCGGAATGTTGTTTGGTATGTGCGCCCCCCGGGCTTCCGCCCGCCCCCTCGCCCCTTTCCCTCCGCTTGCCAGGGTGACAACGCGCCCCCCGATGTCGTGCCGGAGGAGAGGCAGCCCGGTTCGTGATTGTCCCCCGCGCCGGAGTAAATGAACGCCCCCAAGGGCGGAAAGGAGACCTAGCCGAGGCGCGCCCCCCCCCCCCCAACTGTGGGGGCCGCTCGCCCAGGGCACCCCCGCCGGTGGTGTGCCCTTCCCCGAGCTCGTAGCCCGCCGGCTCCCGGCCCTGGAGCAAGGTCAAACGCGAGGCGCCGAGCGAGTGGAGCATGCTGTGGCCTGGTGTGCCTGCCCGTGGCTCGTGAGATGGGGCCCATTGTCTTCGACGGGGAAACCGGAATATTCGGCCTGGCAGCTGTGCCCTGTGCGACTTGGCTCACGTCCCCCCCCCTCCCCCCCGGCATTCCCCGGTAGATGTGTGGTCAAGGCGGGAGTCAGCCCGCCCCGCGGCCCTTTCTGCCGGGCGGGAGGACTTTGCTGGGAGAATATTCTCCAGCTACCACCCTGGCCGTAGGTCACCGGGCCCGCTTCATACTGATGTCCCTGCATTAGTTTTTTTCCCCTTGCCCCTTTCTGCTGATGTACGTGTCTCCTTGCAGCCGCTCTCCCCTCTCTATTCCATTTGTCCTCTCTCCTCCGCGCCCCCTGCGCCCTCTGCGCCCTCTGCGCCCTCTGCGCCCTCTGCGCCCTCTGCGCCCTCTACGCCTTCTGCGCCTTCTGCGCCTTCTGTGCCCTCTGTCCCCACCACCCCCTCCACCCCCTCCACCCCCCCCATGCCCCCTCTGCTCTAACATTCCCCTCATCCTCGACACATCAGCCCCCACCATGTCTCTCGAGAGCCTTATTGCCCGCCTTGAGGTCGCCACCACCCGCCTGGAGGCCCTCGCCTCCGGCTCCGGCCCCGCCGCCGGCGCCGCCGCCGGTGGTGATTTCGACGCCTCCTCCTCGGAGATGATCACCGCCTACGATGACATCATCAACGGTGCCCTCAAGACCTACCTGTCTCTCTCGAGCACCATCGGTGGCCTGGTCAAGGACCAGTCCGACGAGGTCGCCAAGGTCTTCAACGCCCAGCGCGCCTTCCTGACCGTCGCCGCTTCCTCCAAGAAGCCCTCGGATGCGGTCCTCGGCGAGCTGCTGGCCCCCACCTCCGGCGCCATCGCCGCTGCCCAGGGCATCCGCGACCAGAACCGCGGCGCTCGCGACGTTTTCAACCACCTGACCGCCATCTATGAGGGCCTCCCCGCCCTTGGCTGGGTCCTGGTTGCCCCGGCTCCCGTTCCCCAGATCAAGCAGTTCTCCGAGGCCGCTCAGTTCTACTCCAACCGCGTGCTGAAGGACTTCCGCGGCAAGTGCGTCTCCCCCCCCCCCCCATCCCATCCCATCCTTCCCTCTCGCCTTGCCTCACGCTCGCCATGCTCACCCATCTGCTTTTGGCTCTGTCCCTGCCCCTGCCCTGGTGTCCCCTCCTGCCATCGCCGCCACCGTGCCTGTTCCCCCCCTCCCCTCCCCTCCCTTCCCGCTCACCCCTGCGCGCCATCACCCAGGGATGACACCCAGGCCAGCTGGGCCCAGTCCGTCCCGGCCCTCTTCAACGAGCTGGCCGACTTCGTCAAGAAGTTCCACACCACCGGTCTCGTCTGGAACCCGGCCGGCAAGGAGGCCACCGCCGCTTCGGTCCCCGCCGCCGCCGCCGCCGCCGCCCCGGCCGCCGCCGAGAAGCCCGCCGTCAGCCCCAAGCCCGAGGCCATCAAGAGCGTCCCGGCTGCCTCGGTCGCCCCGACCGCCGCCGCCGGTGCCTCTCTCTTCGGCGAGCTGAACCAGGGTGGCAGTGTCACCTCCGGCCTGCGCAAGGTCGACCAGTCCCAGATGACCCACAAGAACCCGGAGCTCCGCTCTTCCTCCGTCGTGGCGGCCGCCCCCTCGCGCGCCGCCCCCAAGGAGGCCGTCGGTCAGACCGAGCTCCTCGGCAACAAGTGGGACGTCCAGAACCACATCGGCCAGACCATCACCATCGAGTCCCAGGAGACCCGCCAGACTGTCTACATCTACAACTGCAGCAACACCACCATCTTCATCAAGGGCAAGGTCAACGCCGTCACCGTCGGTATGTGGCCCCGTCCCGTTCTCCCGCCTTCCCTTTCCCCTCCCCTCGGCCCATTCTCTGACATCCTTTCCCCCCCCCCCTCCCCTGCCCCTGGGTTTCTCAGACAAGTGCAAGAAGGTTGCCGTCGTTGTGGACACCGTCATCTCCGGTGTCGAGATCGTCAACTCCCAGAGCGGCCAGTTCCAGATCCTGGAGAAGTGCCCGACCATCAACATCGACAAGACCGATGGCCTGCAGCTCTACCTCAGCAAGGATGCCATCGACATTGACATCCTCACCGCCAAGTCCTCCGAGCTCAACGTCTACACCCCCGGCAAGACCGAGGATGACGACCACCTCGAGACCCCGCTGCCGGAGCAGTTCAAGTCCACCTTCTGCAAGGAGACCCGCACCTGGATCACCGAGACCATCAAGCACGGTTAAATGGCGCTCGCCTGTGTGTGCGTCTGGGCGCGCGCGCATATGCATCTGTGCGTGTGTGCGTGTGTGCGTGTGTGCGTGTCCCGCACACAGCCAGCCACATGTATGTGAGACCCCGGGCCGCGAGTGGCCAGTGGGGGAAAAGGAGAGGGGTGCGCATGCCGGTCGGATGCCTGCCTGTCCTTCCTGTCGCGTCCCCCTCTTTCCTCCTCGCGCTTGCCACATTCCGACATTTTCATGTGCGCCCCTCCTGGGCCTCTCCAGTCCCGCGCCGCGGTGTGCATGTGTGTCCTTCGCACTCGCGTGTGCAAACGCAGAGGGGCCGACGAGAGGTCTCTTCTTCTCCCTGCGTGCCTGTGCGCGCCCTCCAACACATTGTCAATACATGGTGCAAGTGATGAACGCGCTGCCTGTTGTCCTCCTCTGTGTTCTGTGAGGTCCCCCCCCCCCC